CCAGGCGCCCTTGCTCTGTGTCTTTTAATTGGAGCATTTAGTCTATTTACATTTAAAGTAATTATTGATTCTTATGTTCTTATTGCCATTTTGTTCTTTGTTTTCTGGTTGTTTTTGTAGTTCTTCTCTGTTCCTCTCTTTTTCTCTTGCTCTCTTCCCTAGTGATTTGATGACTTTCTTTAGTCTTACGCTCAGATTCCTTTCTCTTCATATTTTGTGTATCTATTATAGGTTTTTGGTTTGTAGTTACCATGAGGTTCATATGTTCACCCTATGGAGATATAGCAGTCTGTTTTAAGTTGATGATTGCTTAAGTTCAAACACATTCTAAAAGCACTACGTGTTTACTCCCCAGTCCATGTCTTATATATTTGATAACATATTTTACATCTTTTTATTTTTCATTTTTTCCTTCATAATTTTTTTACTTCTAGTTATAGCCTTTTCTTTTCTGCTTAAGGAAATCCTTTTTAACATTTCTTATAAGGCCAGTTTAGTGGTGATGAACTCTTTAACTTTTGTTTGTCTGGGAAACTCTCTCTCCTTCAGTTCTGAATAATAATCAGAATAATCAGGTAGAGTATTTTTGGTTGCAGGTTTTTTTCCCTTCAGCACTTTGAGGATATCATGCCATTCTCTCTGGCGTGCAAAGTTTCTGCTGGAAAATCACCTGATAGCCTTATGAGGTTTCCTTCGTACATACTGTTTTCTTTTCTCATGCTGCCATTTAGGCTGAAGGAGGGCAAGAAATATGCCACCTTCCAGCACATCCATTCCCAGAGAAAGTTCCTACAGATTCCTGTCCTGTTGGCACATGCCCTAAAATTAATAAACAAGTCTCCTTCACATATAACCTAGGCACTTTTCAAAGTCCTGGTTCTCAGAGTGAGAGAGATTTAACGGCAGAGTCTTGGTTTCCTGTAGCACTCCAGCTCCCCCAGCTGAATTTTAAGGCCAGATGTATTGGGGGCTTGTCTTCTTGGAGGTGCAGATTCCCAGGGCAGGGAATGCCCAATGTGGGGCTTGAACTCCTTGCTCCTCAGGGAGGACCTCTGCACCTGTGATATTCCTCCTGCTTGTGGGTTACCAGGCCTGGGGTGTGGTTCTTGATCAGACCCCATCCCTGCCCCTCCTGCCCTTCTCAATACGACTTCTTCTTTATGTGTTTAGCTGTGGAAGATCTGTTCTATCAGTCTTTAGGTCATCCTCAGAGAGAGTTGCTCTATATGTAGTTGCAGGCTTGATGTGTCCACGGGAGGAGGTAACCTCATGATCTTCCTGCTCCGCCATCTTCCCCTCACGATGGGCCATAGTTACGTTATTATGAGAAAAGGAGAGAATGGGTTCAGCCCCACATACACCTATCACACCATGACCATTACTTATTTACCTTCTCTCCCTCAGACACTGAGCTCTGTGAGGGCAGGCAAGTCTCATTCCTCCTCACAGCTTCAGAATCTCTCATAGAAACCAACATAGACCTTCAGGCCAGGTCAGGTTCTTTGGTTAGAGACCCACTAAGAATTGCGTGCCTCCATCATTCATCAGCACGATTGCTTGAACAATATGCGGCACCCCCCACTAGACTGTAAGCTCTGTGAGAATAGAGACCGTGATTTTGGTTCCTCAAGGCCCAGCACCACACCATCAGCAAATATGAAAGGACTTGAGGGCATTACACTTCACAACTGGAAGCTGAATTAGCTCCATTCAAGAACTGAAATAACAGCAGTCATGGAGAATTAACGCCATTGCTATGAAGCCCCAGTTAGTTCTTTCATGCCTATGTGAGTCACATCTATATGAACATGGACATAGGCCTGTGCTGGGTTGGTCCTGGGGACACAGACATTAGTAAAACCAGCTTCTACCCTTGAGAGCCTCCCAGCCAGCTGGTGGTCCCATGGTGGATCTTTCTAGGCCTTCACAACAGGACCACAGCATTTTGTGTGCAGAGGAGTATGTTTTTTTCTGTTTGGTGGCTTTTGAAAACATCATGGCAGCATATTGGGTGCTATTAAAAAGCAGTGTTTTTTAGCAACAGATCAAGGAGGCCAATCAGAAGCTAAGCTCCTGTCAGCGCCAACAATTTGTCTCACTTTGAGAAATAGTAGTGGTCCTGGGAAGGTGTCTAAAGCTCTTCCTGGGGCCCAAGGCAGGTTGGTGGGTTGATTTCTGAAATATGCCCCAAGCATTGGATGGAAAATGCTATGCAGATGCCAAGTGGACGAGGAGAAATTGAGTCTTTTCCTAATGTATGGTCTCTCCAAGAACTACCAGAAGCAACTAAATCACGTGCAAAAGCTGGGTGGGAGTGTGAATAACACGAGGGTCGGGAGAACAGCGACTCTACCATCCCCCACCTACTGACTCCTGTGTCTTCAATAAAGCCTCTTCACCTTGGGCTCAGAGTCTCCAATAAAGCGGCACTGGGCCCCCCTGCTCCAGCATGGAACCCCTCCAACTCTAATTTACAGATGAATCACTCAGGTTAAAATGCAGATTAAGTTCCAAAGGTCTGGGTGGGACCCGATTATGTATCTGTAACAACCTCCCGGGCTGTAGAGGCAGGTGCATCCCAGGCCCACCTGGATCTGTTGAATGAGAGCCTGAGATCCGTGTGAATCACATGCACATCTGAGTTTGACAAGCACCAGCATAGACACAGACTAGAGCTGTGTCTTTTCAGATGTGGCTTGCACGCTGACTTCCGTGGTCTGGGGTGTGACCCGCGCGTCTCACCTTTAAATGCCCCAGGTGATTCAGACGCACAGCAGAGTCTCAGACCGACAGACCTGGGCAGTCGTTTGAGAACTTGAGGTGTCAGAGTCCCTGGAGAGCCCAGAAGGAGCGCAGAGGCCCAGGGTCATTGAGGTGGGATAGAGCCAGGCCTCGGTGGTACTGAGCTCCCAGGTGGTTCTGATAGCAGCCAGTTCAGGGACCGCTGGTAGAGGGAGACCTGCCCACGATGGGTCTGGGCAGGGGCCTGGAGAATGGTGCACAGGTGCCCTGCTGTCCTCCATCGCATCAGCCCTCTGGGCAGCCAGAGCTGCCGTACCACTTGTCTCCGTGGGTCACACACCCCAGTGTGTGATGAAAACGTATGAGATGCATCGTTCCATGAAAAAAACAAAACCTGGGGTGTTCCCAAATCAATCATCTGAGGAGTGGCGGGTTGAGTAAACAGGTTTCTTCACCGAAGGACTCGTCACAAGTCTTCACTGTGCTGGTGTGTGGTGTGGTCCTCCAAAGGAAGGAGCAAAAGAATGACCAACTTCTAGGACCAGGCAACCTTTTCATGGAGCCAGGCAAGAGCATTTGCTGCATGAATCCTCAGACCTCTAAGAGAGGATGTGTCCAGGGACAAAATGCCTAATCTACTTCATAAAGCAAATGTCGACATCCTCTGTGTATTGTTCTGGTTCTCGCCTGGCTTTTCTCATCCTGTTTGTAGCATTTCTTATAGGACATTTGCGGGGAACTGTGATGTGACACCCACTCAGAGGAACGTCTGTCTGCCTCCCTTTTAAGGATGAAGACACTGAGAGTAGAGAGCATTCCCCTGGGCACATCTGACTTTAGAACAAAGATGCGAGGGGCGCCTGGGAGACTCAGTCAGTGAATCGTCTGCCTTCAGCTTAGGTCATGACCTCAGGGTCCTGGGATCAAGCCCCACATCGGGCTCCCTGCTCAGCGGGGAGTCTGCTTCTCCCTCTCCCTCTCCCTCTGCTTGTGCTCTCCCTCTCGCTCGCTCACTCTCTCTCTCAAATAGATAAATAAGTAAAATCTTTAAAAAAGAAAGAAAAGAATAAAGATTAGATAACCGAAGGAAGCAGAAGTCAGGGAGCAGAGGGGGACTTGGGTTGGTCTGGAGGCTTGTTCCCCAGCCGCCCACCCATACCCCCTCCACCAGGGGTCATGTCTGTCCAAAGGATGGGCAGGGAAGACTCCTGGAGCCCGACTGTAAAGTCATCTGGCTAGGAGGCGGGGTTTAGGCTCTGCCCCTGCAGGACAGCAGGCCTCCTCTCGAGGACTTGTCTGTCTGTCTGTCTATCTCCCTTTGGAAGATGGTGGGGTTGAGGGAAACTCACAGTGGGGAAGTGCTATATCCTCCGCAATGGGCTGGGGAAAATGCACTGAGCACGACTGCTCGCATCCTTCCCCGAAGTCCAGCCCGTTCCTGGCCTGCATTTATTTTTGCTGCAAGGTCCCTGGGATCCCTGGGACATGGATGCTATAGGGTGGGGTGTTCACGACACCCCTGGGGGACGCGCCCATTGTCCCAGAGTCAGCCTCTCCAGAGGAGGGAAGCAACAAGCTATTTGTCTGCGGAGAGTTCCTGACTTTAAAGAAGTCTTCAAAGCCACCCGATCGAGTCATCTCTTCTGTGCTAAATGTCCTTCAGTTGGAATCAGCTTATTTCTAATAGGCGTAGGAATAACTGTAGTCATCTCTGGGAAAAGGCATTATCCTCGGTTTTCATTTTCTTTGCTGTCATTTTCTCTCTATTCCCATTTTTCTACAATTGGCCTAGCTTTGTATAATAAGAAAAGACCTCTAAACTGTTTCTGTTTGGCAGAAGTTGGCTGGAAGTGGGATGGCGCGGGGGGCTGGGGGCGGCGTCCAGGCATCCAGGCCGGGAAGGGAGAGACAGGGCATGGGCCTGTGGCCTCGAGATGCTCCTACTCTGCGGTGTCAGACTGGGGCTCCTCTTTCTGCCTGGAGCTCCCCATCTCCCGTGTGGTCTGCCACGAGACTCCGCGGGCTCACCAAGGCGGCTGCGGAGCAGGACGAGAGGCCTCTGGGAGGTGGGCGGTTCAGGGGACACCCAGCTTCTGTTGCACCTGCCGACCCAACTCTGGTTGTGTTTTCAGGTGAGCCTCAAAGCAGGAGCCCCGAATCAGCCTCTCATCTGACAACTGTCAGCTGCTACCGCTTGGCCACCAGCCTGTCACTGCGCCGCCTCTCAACAGGTGAGGAAGTGATGTGTCCTGTCCGAAGGTGGGTTATGCATGGAGAGCAGCTCTTTGCCAGCGGTGCGCGTGTGGGCCCGCGGGGAGGCTGGGCTGTCAGGGTCCTTGATGTGGGGCCGGGTGCTCACACTATCACTTTCTTCTAGCAGTTGTCCCCATCCTGTCCCCCTCTGCTCCTTCCACAGTGGATGCAGGGCCCTTATGAAGGCTGTCTTACAAATTGCCCACCACCTCACATCATCCCCCGTGTGAGTGGATGTTCCCCACCCCCCGTTGGGGGACACGGGGGAGGGGAATCGAGCCATCTCCATGGGCTGCTGGACCTTGAGTGGGAAACCAAGCTATGTGAGCCTTACACTGCCCACCCCCTCCCACCTGACTCTGAGTTACGCACTGCAGGACGCAGCCCGAAAGACTCTCCCTGTGAAACCTGTCTGTGGGTGAGGGGGTTCCTGTGTACCCAGGAAGAAAGGACTGCCTGACCAGGGCAGTGACAGAGCCCGTTCTCCGAACAGTTGGCTCATTTTCCCATCTGCCTCGTCTTCTCAAAAGCCGAGAGTCGAGTTAGTGGTCCTCCAACAGCCAGCGTGCACCATTAGCTTTGTTCCATATCCACTTTGCCTCTACTCCCATTTTTCTTTTTGGGTCGAGGTGGGGTGCCCATACACACTTAGGCATGTGGAGAGACATCCATTGGTTCACATGCAAGAACAGTGCCTGGATAGCCTTGAAAGGGCAGAGATGTTATTCAGATGGAACCTAAGAGCTACCTGGCCAGTGGGGGAGGGAGGGCCTCACGAACCTTCCTGTGGGTCGTCTTTAAGAGACCAGTTGCTGTTAGCTCCAGTTGGCAAAAAGCACCAGCTGGTCTCCTTGGGTTGTGTTGCCTCCCACAGGGGAAGCCCCCTGCCATCTCAGTCCCAAATTAGGCAAAGTTCAAGTTCACTTGAGGGGTGAGTCTGTCCTGGGAGAGCAGGATAGACCAGGTGGCGGGGGGGGACCCTAATTCTGTCCCAAATGCCTTACGAGGTCCAGGAGGGGCGACAGGCTGGGAGCCACACTAGGGAAAAGCTTCCTTCCACTTCCATGAAGGAGCTCAACAAAATCAAGTTATTTAACCTCCCTGAATATATTTCCTCATGTGAAAAGTAGGGGGATTGGACCTGGACCTCTAAGTTCCCTTTCAATATTAACATTCAGTGATTCATTCAGAGCCTCACTACTCAATGTGTGGTCCTCAGACCAGCAGCAACTGGGACCTGGGTAGAAATGTACACTCTTGGACCAAACCCCGAACTGCTCCATCAAAATCTGTTTTATCAAGATCGCCAGGGGTTCATACCCCCATTAAATGTTTTAAAGGACTGATTTAGGTCCTGAAGATGCTTAGAACTCCTCTCAAGGTCATCTGGTGAACACAAAGGAACAATGGAGTACAAGTGATTTATAGCCAGCCACGGTTCTCCACCTGTGGTCCATGCCAGAATCACCTCAGGAGGTTGTGAACTTCAGACATCCAGGTCTGGGGGCTCACAGTCTAGGTCCTGGGTACATGTGTGATGAGTAACCTTACCAGCCACTTGGAGGGAGAGCATGAACATATAGACATGAAACCGTACGGGTCATGGATGATAAGACGGGTAACATCCTGTAAGAGGGTCTGACAGGACCGAGGGGCAGCAGAGCAGACAGAAGAGGTGGAGTGGAGCAGGCTTGTCATCCTGTGTCCCAGAAAGAGTGCCCTCTGTCCTTATTTTTTGCATCTCCACCACGAGTTATGTAGGGGGTCCTTCTAAGGGCATCTGTAGTTATCCCTTCTTTCTTTCTTTTTCTTTTTTTAAAGATTTTATTTATTTGACAGAGAGAGACACAGCGAGAGAGGGAACCCAAGCAGGGGGGAGGGGGAGAGGGAGAAGCAGACTCGCCGCTGAGCAGGGAGCCCAATGCAGGGCTCTATCCCAGGACCCCGGGACCATGACCTGAGCCAAAGGCAGATGCTTAACAACTGAGCCACCCAGGCGCCTTTATCCCTTCTTTCTTAAGTAAGAGTGGAAACTAAGGGGAGCGTGGCTTTTCTGTTGTATTGTTGTCTATGTGTTTGAAGGTGATGAAAAAGACATAAATATATTTGTATACGCTGAGGAGAGGGCACCCAGGGACACCAACATTACAGGAGAAAGAGAGCTGAGTGATAGGGCAGAGCCTGAGGGGGGACAGGTCCACCACACGTGAAGTATCAGCCTTGGATGAAGAGGTGCTTCCAGCCATAAGTGCCAGAGGCCCCAACAGATGTGGCCCAAACCATGAAGAATAGGTTCTCTCAGTGTCGAGGATCAGAGGTGGACTGTCCAGGGTACATCCGGCTTGGGGCTCTGGGTGGGTTGCCCCATGCATCTCCTGACTTTGCCCTGGGTCAGTCCCCAGTGGCCAGTATGGCAAGACCCAGTCAGTGAAGCCAAAGATGGGGTTTCTCCTCTTGTGCCCTGACAAGGAAGGAAAGCAAGGGGGTGACTGGGGCTGGGGGTGGGATGGCGGGCAGCCTTGAGGACCCACAAAGGCTGCCTGTGCATCATGGCACCAGTGGCAGGAAAGACAAAGGAAAGACACAGGTCTTGGGAGGGAGTGACCATGGGGTTGTCCGCTAGGTGACTGTGACACTAGGTGACACTAGGGATGTGGCACTTTGCGGCTGAGGAGGAGTAAGGGGGTGAGTGAGGAGGGCTCAGAGGTGACACTGGAGATGTGGACAGTGGTCCCCATCTGGAGGGGACACAGAGAGGACAAGGCAGGGGTAAGAGTCCATGCATCTCAGGGGCTGGAGCCCCCAACCTGCCGGCTTATTCTATCTCTGGGACACAAGAAGCCAAACACAGCTCAGTGGGATCTTTTCCAAATATTAAGACATCAGCCAGAGTTCTGTGCTGCAGAGTGGAGTATGTTGAAAATGTGTGCCTCTCTATAAACAGGGGAAGAATGAGAAACTAGTTGAGTGGGATCGAGGTGCTCTCAGTGCAGCCGGTCAAGGGCTGGAGGGAGGGAGAAGGCCGCTTCCAGTCTGCCAAGGCTCTTCCACTGGTAACACTTCCTGTGCAGATGCACCTACTCCCACTTACCCCCTCCTCACCCCCACACCCACACATTCACGGTGCAGAGCCCCGCCCCCAGGCCCTTCCCCTATGTCTTCCTTCTTCACTCCTGCTGACGTTGGCCTCAGCTACCTTCTCCTCAGCCATCCCTGTGCCCCTCCTTCAGTGTCCTCCCCAACTCCTAAAAGCCCAAAGTCAGTGATGAGGAAAGAGGATAAGCTCAGGAATGGGAAGGGAGGATCAGGATCTGAGGGAAATGATTTTTGGGTCCTTTTTGACTTGCATCAGCCTGGGGAGGGTTGGAAACCCTGTGTGTGTCTGTGTGTGTCTCCTCCTTCCTTTTGTGGGGATACACAGGCACGTGGATACACATAAACACACACATCCATAGGGGAACAGCCACTCACGCACGGACGGGCACGGGGCAGGCACCTCAGGCATGTGGACACACACGGGGACACACACGGACCTGAACACACGTGCAGAAATGCAAGCACATCTCTACGTGGCCGGGTGTAGGTGTCTGTTCCCCTGGGGTTTCTAAACCCCAACTATTCCTGATTCTCCTTCTCTTCTGGTTGAGTAGAAGTTCCCAACCAAGACAGGAACACACACCTGTCAAACTGTGTTTTAGGTGGCTGATCTGTATCTTACGAGAGACTTTTATTTTTTGAAAAGTTGCCTGTGGACAAATGAAGCTGCTGCCACACCTCACCTGGACCACAGAGCGCGTGTGTGAAAAACTCAGAGAGTGGCCTATGTGCCAACATCTGGCCAAGCCTCCTCATTCCTCCCTGTGTGCCCTTGGAAGCCATCGCTCCCTGTGTGGCCCACCTTCAGCTCTCAGGCTGAATGATTAGGCCCCTTCCAAGTAGTTTGTCATTAGCTGGGGCAACTGAAACCTACAGCATCTATGTGGAAATCTATGCTTGCTTGTGGAAGAGTTAGCATTATAGTGGTTTCTTCCTAGTCCTGTGGCAGCATTCCATGTCAGATCAGGGAGAATTTCTTCCTTCTTCTAGAAAAAAAAATCAATGCTTGGGATAGGGTGTGTATGTGTGTGTGTGTATTATTGTTTAAAAACCAACTGCTAGGGCGCCTGGGTGGCTCAGTCGTTAAGCGTCTACCTTCAGCTCAGGTCATGGTCCCAGGGTCCTGGGATCAAGCCCCGCCTCGGCCTCCCTGCTCAGCGGGAAGCCTCCTTCTCCCTCTGCCACTCCCCCTGCTTGTGTTCCCTCTCTCGCTGTGTCTCTCTCTGTCAAATAAATAAAATCTTTAAATAAAATAAAAATAAAAATAAAAACAAACTGCCAGCATAGAGTCTGTAAGATTTTTGGAATGAGAGCAAATTAAAATTAACAATAAAACAGTTGTTTCCAGGGGAGATGTGTACTTAAAGCAGTAGATTGCCGGAGGGCCACGTGAAAACATGGAACGAACCCTTCACTAGGCTTCAAAGCTTTGAGTTTGGACTCTGGATCCACAAAGTTTGGCTGTGAGACCTTTAGCTGTTGGCTTAATTTCTGAGTTTTATACTTTCTTTACTTACTAAACAGAACTTAATATGTTTTGCCAACCTTCAGGGCTGCTAGAAGAATGAATGAACAAATGTGTAGGAAAATGATTTATTACTAACAAAGTGCTACACAAAAGTCAAGGCATTACTATGGTCATGGGGGTAGTAAAGTAATGCTGGCTGGGACCATCTGGTATACCCATGGCTGAGAAGGTCTTGCCAAACAAAAGCAGAAGGTCTCGCTCCCATCACTCTAGTGAAGCATTTCCTTCTCTTGTCCCAGGAGGGTTTACTCACAAACGCTCCCTGGCTCAGACAGAGAAGCTGTAGGTGGCAGGAGAGGGGAGAACGGTGAGGAGGGTAAGCCTTTTCCAACCCTTCAACTTCGCTTGTTTCAGGGACAGCAGAATGAAAGAAGTCATGTCCAACAACAGCACCACTAGCATCTCGCAAGCCAGGAAGGCTGTAGAGCAGCTGAAGATGGAAGCCTGTATGGACAGGGTCAAGGTAAGCACACACCAGCCAAAACCCAGCTCCAAGCATTCCCCCTATTTCCTTGTGAGAGTTAACACGTCACCCAGCGGAGCTGCCAGCCAACCTTGGCAGCTGTAACATTTACAAATGAGTGTTTGCCTCCGAGTTCCAAGTGTGCTCAAGGATTCAAATGATGCAAAATACACAGTGTGCATGAATTCCGTAAGGAGCTGCCAAAAATAGACTCATATTCATCTCAGCTCTATTTTGCTCTGTTGTCATGCCAATAAGGGAGAGGGTTTAACAGTGAGATCCATCATCGTTTTCCTGCCCGATGCAGTGACTTCGAGGTTAGACCACATTGGGTATTTTGACAGGGGTGCTGTTGGGAGGGAAGCATTGAACCGTGCACCGTGTTTTCAAATGTTCCTTTGGGGAATGTGAAGAAAGGCACCAGTCACCTCCCACCATGTTCATTCCTCTGATGAGTGTAGCTCTCTTCACACTGGGAGGGCTGAGGCAGGATGAAGCCACCTCATCTCCAGATGCTCTCAGAAGCCAGCAGGGGGCCAGGCAAAGCATGGGGCTCTCCAATACCATTTGGGTTCATCAGCTGTCATAGAGCTGGAACGCTGTCAGGAGTCTGACACCAGGAAACTCAAGTCCAGTGGCCTTTGGGCACACAGAACCAGGGGTCTCACCCAGGCATCTGGGATTCAAAAAGGACGGATTGCAGGGGGTAATGGGTGAACCCTAAAGCCTTCTGCTGGCAGAGTGGACAGTCTCTCCCCGAGGTTCCCAGCACCGAGCCCTCCCCTCCTGCTGGAGTTACTGCCAGAGAGCAGCAGATCCTGCCTCCATTGGGACAGTTGTGGGAACACTGGGGCTTTGGGGTTTGAGCTATCCAAGGAGGCAGTAAAAGAGCACAGAAAGTGACATAATGATATATGAAGCAAGGAGGGAATACAGCATGATAGAAATTGCCATAAGTGCACCAGTATTATTCAGGTGTCTCTATCTTGCAAGTACTGATACCAGCTACAAATTAGACATCACTCCTTGATCTCTAGGCTAGAGCAAAGAGCAAGGAACTAAACAATTCTAAAGGAGGGAGAGGGGCACCTGGGTGGCCAGTCAGTTAAGCATCTGTCTGCCTTCAGCTCAGGTCAGGATCCCGGAGTTCCAGGATTGAGCCCCTGTTCAGCAGGGAGTGTGCTTCTCCCCCTCTCTCGGCCCCTCCCCGCACTCGTGCATGTGTGCATGCTCTCTCTCTCTCTCAAATGAATAAATGAAATCTTTAAAAAAAAAGATAAAGGAGGGAGATCCCCAACAGTATAGGCATGGATCTCAGAATGAGATCCAGAGGACAGACATTTGCTGAGAGGATGAGGATGGTGGGGAGACTCGCTCTTTTGATAAACACGCCTGTGGACCTGCTCTGTACTAGGTGTGGTGCTGGGATGCAAACACGCGTGGGCTGCCCCATCGTCTTGCTCAGAGAAGGCTTAGTGGAGCTGGGAGCTGGTAGTGGTTCTGAGGTGGTATCGGAGGGTAGGGAAGGCTAGCGCGAGCTGAGCATGGCTCATTTGGAGCAGGTGGGCTTGACAGAAGAGCTGCGGGTTTGCCAGGAAGGCCACTTTGGGCAGCCTGGGGGTGCCGGGTACACAGGCGCAGAGCATCCAGCTGACGAAGTGTGAAGCCAGGACTGTGAGACGCACTGACCTGCCGGCAAGAGTGAAGTTGTCAGAGGCCAGGAGGCAGCCAAAGCCACAGAGACAGGCGTAGAGAGAAGCAGAGCCCGGAGCTGGGATCAGAGAGGCAGACACACCAAGACATGGGTGCAGACTCAGAGAGTCTGTGTGGGAGACACTAGGGAGAAAGACTGCGAGCCCAGCTCTCCAGCTCCATGGCCAGAGACTGGAAAACAGTGGGCACCGGCCTTGGCGGTGGGACAGACGCTGTGCCAGGAGTCTAACAAGGAAGATAAATTCTGTAATTTATTTAAATTATACCCGCGACAGTCACCACCACCCTCACC